TCGAAACGGAAACGATATCGTGATTGCGCATGTACGATGTCACATGTGACATTAAATTTCCTCTTTTCTTATAGCGAATTCGATTGGACGCACTCAGTGCGCACTGGTGTACATTAAAGCCGTCGTACACAAAATGATGTAAAGATATGTTTATACAAAATGTTATTAAACATAGAAATTGTTTAAATCCTGAAATACTCAATACATTTTATCGTACTATTAGGTAAAATATATATTTTATAATTCGAAATATTTGCATTTTATTTTTATACTCAAATTAAATCAGTGTACAATGGCCTTAAAGACGCACTAGTGCCATTACGTCTTTTTGCCGATTTTTCTTTTATTTTAAAGCGAATAATATGAAGCCTGTTTTACAATAGGATTGTAAGAAATTAGTCAATCATAGTTGATTATTTTTTTCATATTCAATTATGATTGGCCAATTTCTTACGGCTTAAGACTTCTGCGATTCTATTGTAAAACAGGCTTAAGACAATTAAATTTATGTTCACTCTGTGTCAACACATCATATATTTCAATTAAGCATGTAAACGGCAGAAAATTTAATTTACTAATGGTGCATTTAATATTTGTTTTACATACAGTAGCACGCGAGAATTAGGAAAAAAAGTGATCGTTGCGAACCACGAGTAAACCATGTAGGAAACGGTAACAAACTTCCCAAGCAGGGAACCGACAAGGGAGGAAGCCCATCCGTTCGGAGGGGCTTTCACAAAACCCTATTCAGTGAACGAGTGAATGAGGCAAAAAAGTATCGCGACCCATAATTTCATTATAATTAGTTTCCGTTGAGATTACATTATATAATTTAATTGTGTCCTTGCAATTGTGCATCACTTTTGCTATCTTTTGCACGAGACGGATTTTTTTTTTTTTATTAAAATTGTTTTAATAAACTGACAAATTTTTTTACTAAACTGAAGAACAATAATAGGGACAAGAGTACAAAATATTTACTATTATAATGCAATTTTCGTGCACGTGGTTTCTTTCTAGTTATTTGGAATTGACACTATTGAGAGAGAGAGAGAGAGAGAGAGAGAGAGAGAGAGAGAGAGAGAGAGAATGAATGAATGAATGAATGAATGAATGAATCGTTATTTATTTGAGCAAAAGAGAGAGAGAGAGAGAATCGCCAATTATTTGCCTTGAGATTTAATCCCCTCAAACGCGAGATATATATCATCATACAAGATATACGGCTTGAAAGCTTTACAGTAATACAGAAATAAACTAAAGAAAAAAATCACAAATAAAATAAAAATAATAAAGCATGTAGATGTGAGAGTGTGTGTTTGTGTATAGAATATATGTATAGAACAAAAAGTAATTTAAACGAAAAGTGTTGCAAAAGTCGATCAAACTTCAATAACATCAATCATGTTAGAAATTAATAGGCAGGATTAGCAAGTACTTAACGTATTACTTGTAATGTCATTATTATTACAAATTATTTTTGGTCGTCAACGACATTACATTTTTGGAGTAATGGTAACAATTTTACTAGTTATCATTACTTTATATTTTTAGCCACAAAAGTTTTAGTCTTAATTACATATATACATACATTTTTATCAGTTTTTTAATTTTATTCCTCTACTAAAAGAGATCTGACTTTTCTTCATAATTTACTGCAAAAATGTATGTATAATAGCGTTTCTTATTGGCAGAATCAGTACGCACTCAAAGCACTTTAAGTCGTTGTACATAAATCGAAATAAAGATGTTTAATAAATTCAGATTAGAGTAGTGTACAACGGCTTTAATATGCACTGAATTCTACCAATGATAAACGCTGTAATATTCTATTAGTGTCAAGAAAAAAAAGTAATGAAAAAGTAGCGACTAATTACATTTTGAGTGATGGTAACAGTAACGAGTTACATTTGCAAATCAATAACGAGTAATGGTAACGAGTTACTTTTTAGGAAAAAGAACAGTAATGATAACGAATTATTTTTATATTTTATTTTTATATATTTTGAGATAACGTTACAACTCTATTAATTATGAAATTTGTTTTTAAAGGTACTTAGAGATTCAGAGTCGTTAATCTCAGAAGGAATAGTCTGGAATATCATTAATATAGTCGCATAACATTCAATTCATATAAACGTTTGAAAAATTCAATTCAGCATATTATACGCAAAAGATAATACACCACTGTGCACTATGAGTTCTTAGGTCTGTTTTTTATTGTTGCACTTTCTGTACTAGTACACAATGCAATAAGTTGATGTGAAATGAAATAAAGATACGTTTGTTTCACTTCAACTTATTGCACCGGTTCAGAATGCAGCAATAAAAAACAGACGTATTGTATCATTCAAGGTTTTGTTTTCCCTTTTTGAATTCAAATCCATAAATGACGTGAAGTTTTTTAAATTTCAGAATTGGGATAACTAGACTGCTACAAAATATGTGCGACGAGGCTCAACAGAGAGAGCAGAGAAAGAGAGAGAGAGAGAGAGAGAGAGAGAGAGAGAGAGATCGGAAAAACATACTTGTAATTGCGAGAAAAAAGCATTGTACGAAAGACTAAGAACAGTTTCTAGATCGAGAGAAGTAACGTTATTCTCACGCGCGTACAACCGTATGGTCGTAATTGATCGCTTTTCGCGGAAAAGCAAGCGAACGTTTCCCAACCGTACTACGCTATAACGAGAGAAAAATTGCGGAATAGTAGGAGAAACTCCGTGAGAGAAAGAGAATACGCACCCGCGGAATTGTGGGGACAAAGCAATAATTGTTATACGCGGTGTACGTAGACCGCGTGAATATCTTACAATTAGAATCGCACGATAGTGGGACGATCCTCTCGGGACGCCATTGTTTCTCGCGCTGCTTCTGGAAAAGTCGGTTTAGCTTACCGTAATCATTATTCACCCGTCGTCACCGCGGCTGCAACAAGTGCAATTATTACATTGTCGTCTATTTAAATTCTCTACACTCGAAATTTTTATGATAACATAATAAATAATCTTAAATTGAGTCTTCCTATTTTTACCATATATTCCCCAATTTCTTTTATAATAATTATTAGTACAATTCTTTCTAATCTTTGATTCGATTCTTTTAACAAGGGACGCGAGAATAATCTTGTTAATAATAATTGATTTATTTTCGTAAAATCTCTACGGATAGTCAATAGACAGTGTGATGTAATACGCCATCAAGGGGTAAAATATAATAATCTCTCCTTACAGTTTAAACCTTGGAAATTATGCGATTTATCCGACTGAGGAACGAAGCATAAAAGGCGTAAAATGCGTAAAATGCGTGAAAAGGTATGCCTCAATTACTTTCGCACCTGTTGCGTCTATATAGCTCCTTCATGATAACACCGGGAAATTTTCATAGCTCTCAATTCTCGATAAGTATAAAAGACAAGATAAAAATCGAGCTTAATGCGATATTTACATAATTCGCCAGGACATTGTTTTTTTATTGTTCTTATAGACATTCCGCATAAACGAAAAACGATCGCAAGTGGCAGTAAACGCAGAGTTAAGAGTCAGAAGTGTTTATATAGTCGATTATATATTATTTAAGACCATATTAAGTACAATCTTAAGATGTCATAAGCCAATGCAATATTAGCATCTTGAGACATTATTACTTAAGATGACCTTGTAATAAGAACGGATTATGAATACCAGTCAGAGTCAAGAAAGTGCGAAATCTTAGCATTCTTTGCATAAATTTCCGTTCTCACCACTGTTTGATTCTCTTTTGATTGGAAGTGTAACCGTATACATTTGGTTGTAAATAATTACAACTTCAATAATTGTTTTTAAAAGTGAAAAACTCTCTATGAGAATGTTTGACTACAAGTATGTACAGCTAACTTTTTTTCTTCTAGTACTATGGATTTTTGATTAAATTAACTTAAAAAACCTACGTTATTATGGCTTTGCTCACCTATATCTACTACGGCAAATAATAAGCGAGTACGTGAGTAATTAAAAGAGTGAATAGGTATAAGAATGAGAGAGAAAGGGTGAGAGAGAGAGAGAGAGAGAGAGAGAGAGAGAGAGAGAGAGAATATCTGTTGATGTATCATATTTATGTAAAAAAAATAATATATATATCACGTGTATTATACGTCAATTTATACATATATGATGTGATATAAAATTGTAAGAAAAAGTGTTCAATATTGTACTGATTAACTATTCAGTAACTGATGATATATTTCATCTAGTTACTGGTGAAATATCATCAGTTACTGAATAGTTAATCATCAGTATATTGAAACACTTTTTCTCTCCTAAGGATATGCATATACATTATAGTATATAAAATTTATTAGTAGATTCAAAATAATATGACGTATTAATATATAACATGAGAATTTAAAAAAAAATAGTACCTCATGTATATACACATTACTACATAATGTACTTAGTGTATGTGTATAGAGAAATGCATCACAATTATTCAAAAGAAAAAAAATAAAAAAGCATACATTTAGTGACATCTGTAGGGATTTGTAAAGTTATCAACAACTGATATTTCAGATAGACACGATTTCTAGTGGCTTCCTTCACACATAGATGTCGCCAGCTATAAAACCACCTTACCATATGTTTATTGTTTATAGTTCATATTTCGGAGTTTTTTGGACTGCCTTGGACTTGAACGATTACAAATTGTGTTGACAAAATATGTTAATATTAGTTTATATCATATTTTTGACAATTTTCGCTGGTCATCTGTGTGAAGAACAATTTTGTTCAGCAGATAATGAAATAAAATCCTGTAAAGAAAATGAGGTTGCTCACCAAAATTCACTGTATACGAAAGGTATTGTTTATTAAAAATGAATTGTAATAATTATGGAATATGTGATACGATACGATGCGATATTATACATACATATTATAAAATTCTCGATTATATACATCTTTTCTATTTCTAGAAACAAATGAAAGATACAAGAAATATTTAGTGGCGATTCAAAGTGCAGAGCAAAACTACAAAGAATGTAATAACACAAAGCATAAGTGCTATAAAGATGTAATTGTACAAGATCTAAGGCCATTTAAAAAGAAGGGCATAAGCAAAGAAATGATTGAAGCTGCTAAAACTAGGTATCTGTGATATATTACATAGATCAATGATTTAGACTTGGTTTTATTAATGTAAGATTAACTTTAATCTTGATTTATAAATTTGCTTTTTATCTTTTTCTAATTCTATAAATTAGAGAAAAAAATAAATATTTAAATTAAATCGAGATTAAAATTAATCTTATGTTGGAACCAATCTTTAGTGGACCTGTTTTTCTTGTATTAAACTTTCATTTTTGCTTTAATCAAATATTGTACTTACCTTTATTTTAAGTTCCAAAAGTGTACACTACTTTAGTTATAGAAAACAGGTCTAATATTAGTACCTTTTGTCCTTGTTAACTAAATTTTCTAAATTTTATGATAATTTTGCACACAGGGGTACATTTTACCAAATAATTGAAGGTAAATTGTACAGAGAGAAAGACTGCATGTTTCCAGCCAGATGTGCTGGAATTGAACATTTTTTATTAAAAATAATTGGTAATTTATCCGATATGGATTTAGTTATAAATACTAGAGATTATCCTCAATCTAGCGAATATTTTGGAAATGCCATACCTGTTTTTTCATTTAGTAAGGTGAGAGATAATTCTTATTTATTCAAAGATTTTTTTATAACAAGATATAACTTATAGGATATATATATATATACAATTATGTTCTGTTTGTTGAAATTAATGAGCTGTGCAGCTTGCGAAATGTATTTATAGACACCACAATATTATGATATTATGTATCCAGCATGGGCATTTTGGGAAGGTGGTCCAGCTATCTCGTTATACCCCCGTGGTCTTGGCAGATGGGATCAACACCGTAAAACTTTGAATAAGGCGAGTTTAGAGGTTTCATGGGAAGAGAAAAAAAGTAAAGGATTTTTTCGTGGATCTAGAACAAGTTCGGAACGCGATAATTTAATTTTATTAAGTCGTAATAAACCTCATTTAGTAGATGCTCAATATACTAAGAATCAAGCATGGAAATCTAATGAGGTATTGTCGCATTTTAATCACAGCGTATTTTATATGTGTAATAATGCGAAATGTACAAGACAAAGTTGAATTTTATTTTAGGACACTTTGCACGCAACACCAGCGTCAGAAGTATCTTTAGAGTCGCATTGTACATACAAATATTTATTCAATTTTCGAGGTGTGGCAGCTTCATTTCGACATAAACATCTATTTTTGTGCCGATCACTAGTCTTTCACGTCAGCGACGAATGGATGGAATTTTATTATCATGCCATGAAACCATGGATTCATTATATACCCGTTCCCAAAAATGCAGATCAACAAGAGTTAGAGTAAGACATCACATTTAATCTTGCTATAATATTATTAATGTTTGTGCCTTTACCAATCTCTTTGTTTTGGTCTATTTTGTTTTATTACTTTTTCAGGGATTTGATTGAATTTGCAAGGAACAATGACGATTTAGCAAAAAAGATTGCTCATCGTGGAAGAGACTTTATATGGAATAATTTGCGAATGTTAGACGTTATACATTTTTGGAAACAACTTCTTAAAAATTACAGTAAGCTTGTAACATATAAACCAGTATTAAAAAAAGATCTCATAAATATTAGAAGAGAATTATGATAATTTTTGTACAAATATTAAAGAATCTCGTGCGATATTATCCTGGATAAATATATACAAATAAAAGAAAGACGACCAGTGTGTGTGCGTGCGCGCGTGAGTGTATTTATGTAAGCAAAATGCGTTTATAGCTAATAAATGCAATTGAAAATATGAAATGATTAAAATAAACATATGTATTTATTAATATTATTTATATGACAATGAAAAATATAATACAATAGAGATTTTGTTTAAGGCACGACAAAATAGCGTGGCAAGTTTCAATATGAATTATTAATATCCTAATATCAGTAGTAACACAAAGAAAGGCGTTGCACAATTAAATTTATGTAGTAGATATAATATTCGAGCTGCCTCAAACGATAATCAATAATTTATAATGAGTTTAAAATAAGATCATGTAGTAAAAAAGTAATTTTTGTGTTGTACAGAAATTCTTTTATTCAACAAATATTAATGAAAAATACAAAGCCTTTCTTCTTGTACTCTGATAATACTTAAAAAGGCTAAATATAATCTTTAACAATTAAGTACTGGTCAAACATTCGTATTAGACTAAAATACTTTTTGAAATGTAAGAAAATATAGGATACATACAAATATTAAGACTGTTTTATAACATTTGTTAATACTGAACGAAGACAGTTTTTTTTATGTATATAATTTTCCTTGCAGTATTTCATTTCTATCAAAAGATGATTGTTATATGTTTTACTAAATGCGTTTTAAAGTGCATTTTTATTTTACACAATAGAAATCTAGGAAAAAAAGGCACTTTATATAAATAAGAATTGTATAGATACATAAATTCTCACACATACAGCACCATTAATGTCAGATCAGTCTGACAATTTGCATTTACACTCTAAACGTATGTATATGTATATACATATACATATGAACGCACACACAGCATACATATATGTATACATACATATACTACTGTGATCAAAAAGTAAGGTGAATTTTGTTATAAAATAAAAAATCTTTATTTATTCATCCAAATCAATTTGATCCCCTTCAAAGTAATCTCCCTCCGATACAATGCACTTATGCCAACGTTTTTTCCATGCCTCGAAGCATGCCAAAAAGTCGTTTCCCGGTATAGCCTTCAAAGCGCGCAGCGATTCACGTTGAATCTCTTCAATAGATTCAAAGCGGTGTCCCCGGAGCGGTCTTTTGAGTTTGGGAAATAGCCAAAAGTCACACGGAGCTAAGTCAGGTGAATAAGGCGGTTGCGGAACGATATGAGTGGAATTTTTGGCGAAAAATTCACGAAGAATCAATGCCGTGTGAGACGGCGCATTATCGTGATGCAAAAACCAGGAATTGTCTTTCCATAAATCCGGCCTCTTCTTGCGAATAGCTTCACGCAAACGACGCATAACACTCAAATAATATTTCTTGTTGACAGTTTGGCCCGGCGGAAGGAACTCATAATGCACAACACCACGATAGTCGAAGAAAACTGTCAGCATAACTTTGATTTTTGAGCGACTTTGGCGCGATTGTCTTGCCTCGCCTTTAGCACGATATTCACTCGATTGGTCGGTTGTTTCCGGATCATAAGCATAGATCCAAGTCTCATCTCCCGTAATAATGCGTTCGTAGACGTCCTGATAGTCACAAATCATCTCTTTACAAACTTTAACGCGACGCTCTTTTTCGAAGAAATTGAGTGTTTTTGGCACCAAACGAGATTTTACTTTTCTAAGGCCCAAGTGATCCTTCAAAATTGTTTGAACTGAACCAAATGAAATGCCAACCATATCGACAAGGTCTCTAATTGTCAATCGACGATTTTCGAGCACCAATTCCTTGATTTTCTTCACGTGTTGCTCATCAATTGACGTTGATAGTCGTCCGGGGCGTTCCAAGTCATCAGTACGTTCTCTGCCTTCTTTGAAGTCTTTGTACCACTTATAAACATTTTTCCGCGACATAGTCGATTCTCCGAAGGCCCTCTGCAACATTCTGAACGTTTCCGCAGCCGAAATTTCATTCCGCAAACAAAATTTAATGACACTTCTTTGTTCAGCAAAATCAGACATTGTAAAAATCGCCAAAATCACTTTTAGTCGTTTAGAAAACACAAGCGTAACTATATGACCAATGATGACATTGACATGAAATTTGCCACAGATGTCACTAACAGTAGTACCAACATAAAAATAAAAAAGTTTGCTCGAATCGATTAGCGCGGGAAGTTTAAATTAAAAATTCACCTTACTTTTTGATCACAGTAGTATACACACACACACACACGCGCGCGCGCGCGCGCGCGCGCACACACACGCACGCACGCACGCACGCACGCACACACACGCACACACACACACACACACACACACACACACACACACACACACACACACACACATCATTGTATATAAAACTACAAAATAAACAAGCTATCAATGAGAGAAATCGTGAAGAAAGCATTTATATAAAAACAAGGATTCTCTTCAAATGTACGCAACGTCGCATAATGGAAGCGAAATCAAACACTTAGTTTGAAATGACGTATAGAAAAAGTTGCGCTTGAACATATCTGGCATTTACAATTCATTTTAGAGAGTTATATAAATTACAAAAATACTTTCTAAGGCACTTGCACCATAAGATAACAGTCACTTTAAAATACTCGCAACGCAGCAACGATGACACTAGTAGTATAGATATTTACATACATATAAAAATGTATTGCGCATGCAAATAAGATTATAGATATTTAATGAAAGTAATATGTAGGCTGTAATTGCTTACTGTCACATAAAATATTTTAGAATTTACATTATGTAAGTAGGAAAGTCTAATATTCACATAACACTTTTAATTGATCAACAAATATTTTTTAATTACAGTATTGTCGATAAAGAATTATTGCTTGTCATGTCGCAATGTCCGAATATCCTTTTATATACCTCGCGATTTAATCAAACGATTGGATCCCAAGGAATTTATAAGTGCCTTTGATGGTTAAAGTCTTTGCGAATAATGGACACGCGAATAAATAGGCAGTGTAAAACATTCTATGTTATGTTACTGCGTGTGAAACATTATTGAAAGATATATATATATATATATATATATATATATATCTTTGAATAATGCAATTCAAATATGTGCTATAGCTGCGTCGCGCATACGCTTGCGCAACAACGCAATAACTCGACGGTTTAATTGCGGCGGAAATATTGCTCGTCATAATTTTCTAACTATCTACTTAATTACCGAGAGCGCAAGTTCCTGAACGCGTCGCATCAACGACAATATTGAGTCGATTGACATTCACTTTTCGAAAATAAACAAAAATTCTATCAACACCTTTTGATCACATTTCGCGCACGCATATCGATTCGAGTTTCAAGTCACTGCATCGCTGCCTTTACGTAGCCACGATGAACCTCGCGATGATCACTGTCATGATGCTGAGCAACAGTTGCCGTGTGCTTTCCAATGAATGCAGCGAATTCACGGACGCCCCAGAGTTTTCATGATGGTGATTCGATGATGTGACGAGCTCGTCGGTGCCTCCTGTCGAATTCAAATTTGAATCGTAGTGGCGGGTAATCTCGAATGACACGCCATGCAGAACGGCGCGTGCGCACATTCGAGAGCGCGAAACAGTACAGGCTCAATCAAACAGGCACGAAGATGTCGGCCATTAATTCTCGCTCTCGCTCTCTTGCCGCCGTTGCCGGTTGACTGTTGTTGTTTGGAACTTTATTTGGTTTTTCCGCGTGTAAATAATCGGGATATTTGGCACGTGTACCGGTCGTGGGTCGCGCCGCTTTGACCGCTCACTTTTTCCCGAATTCGGGATGTACATTGTTGTCGTCTGGAAAAGGTGATTGCTCCCGGTTAATGCGGGTGATAGATCATTTCCTTCTCACGGTTTCTTTTACAAGCAAACATCGCTGCTGTCTGTTCACAGCTCAGTATTTAGTGCTATTCTCAGGTAAATAATTTTGTGAATATAACTTTTGCTAACACGCTTGAACTTTTTATATCGGTAGAAAGTGGTTTTATGTGATAATGTCGAATTATAAATTTCACATTCAAGCTCGTGTTCAGATTCCCACCCGAGGGGTTGTTCTCCGGGTGTCATGTCATCCTTGACGGTTAACGTTCGGTAAAAAACAAGGATAGAGTGATTGAGTGAGAATCTGAACATAACCCAACATCACTGCCTGATTTGTAAGTATACTATCGTAACGTTACTTTAAAGCCATTTGAGCTCCAGAGTCAAAATGCTATCGACGCAAAGAAAATTCAGTGTGAATAAGATTTCGGGAACTGTAAAGTGTTGATATCTGAGTAATGCTTATCGATACTTTACAGTTCTCGAAATTTTATCTTGAATTTTTGTGCGTCAATGGCTTTGCGTTTTGGCTCCGGAGCTCAAATTGGACAGGCCTGCTCTGAGCGATAATAACTAAAAGTATGATTGCAAAATTAAATTAAATTCGTATGATACAAATTTGATTTTAGAATGTCATTAAGGCAAGCCATTTCGTTGAAAGCACCAAATACATGAGAATGTCAATATATGAGATATTTTATAATGTTAAATAACTTAAGTAGGAGTTAAAGATCCCCCATGCTAAAAGTAATGAGCATGTCTTAAATCTTGATTAAATCTTTACAGATTTAAACTTTCTGTGTTCTATCTCGTAACCATTCTCGTTCGCAATTGTCAAAAACAATTGCAAGTTCATATTTGTTAGAAAATTAGTTGGCAATAAATTTCTTTAAATTTCTTAGAGTAAAATCTCATCTCAAAAAAATTAAAATACTGCCACTATAGTAAAAGAGTGAAGAAAACGTTAGCACTCTTGAAAAAGAGTAGCAGATTTTTACTCTTTTGGAGTGAGATTCACTTTAAAGGAAAGAAATCTCATTCCTTTTTTTCGAGATACTCTCACTTCAAAAGTGTAAAATATTTTGCTCTAAAAAAAACAGTAAAAATCTGCCATTCTTATTCAAGAGTGCAA